AGAAAATCGTACACAATAATATTTTAATGATGGATGTGCATAAAGAAAACGTTCAATAATCATATAAAGAACAAAAAAAATTGGAACCTAAAAAAATTCAACATTATATCGATTTGAATATTTATTTGAAGACTTACTGCTTCATTAGCTGATAATATAACATAATGAAAACGACAGAGACGTACAGTAAGTATGTCAAACCAATGATGTAGAAGAAGAATTAAAGCTGGAATCCATGCAATAAATGCACAAAGAATAATATGAGTAGAAAAATAATCAATTACATTTAAATATGCTCGTGAATGAAACATTCTTACAATAAGTGGAATTGCAAGAAGATAAGTTAAAATTGTAAATGTCCAAATAACAACATGAACACTAGTCACAGAATATTTTTCTGGTTCAATTAAATCAGCTACTTGATGTTTATATAAATCTGTTCCATTAAGTAATCTTTTAATTAATTGATAAAGAGTTTCATTAATTAATGAGGAATTTATTGATAATGTCATATTTTGCACTGTTGTAGTTCGCGATGTTGTTGATAACGTTATTGAAGAAGTAGTACTCATTTCTATTCGATTATGTTGATGCCGATGCTGTTGTTGTTAAGGCTGACAAAAAAAGTTGTATATGTGATAGTCACCTTATCGCCTCTTTTTATCGTATTCAGAAGAAATATTGTGCGTCCTCTGCGTTCCTTTGTGCGTCTGAATGTGCTGATTTTCGAATAGGTTGTGTAGCGAACGCGTCGCATGCTTGATTAATTTCATTTCTCCTTCTGCTTTCTCTTGACGAGCGGCAGCGACAGCAGCAGAAAGAGAAAAAGTACAAAATGACGATGTCAGCGAAAAGAAAAAAAAGAGAGAAAGAAAAGAACCGAACAGAAGAAAGCATTGAGTAATGTTAAAATGGCGTCGACAGTCAGTATAGAATTGCGTATGAATGTGCCGACAAAACTGTTTTATGATAAAGCAGGAACAAAAGCTTTCATCATACACGTAATGTTCTTTTTCTTTCTCTAAATAAGACTACTAGGTCAACGCCATGCACCGGTATAAAATAGGAATGATGCAGAATAGCTAAATACATCAAATAGATCGATCCTCTTCTTAATGTACTTGAAAAAAAAAGCTTTTGCATCCGCTGAAGGTTATCTGTACATTAGTATAGAAAAAAATATTACATCTGTTTTTTTTTTCATTGATCACATATGAATATATTCAATCATAAAAATACATCGACAATAGCTGAATATATGTTCAAGTACAATCAAGCGTTGATAGTTCATTACTATGTCATGTATTGATAGCTATTGAGTGATGATCAATTGATGAAAAATCTAGTTATATCATCAAAAAGAATCAGGTGCATAATACGAAATAGATTAATCACATATCTATCAACAAAAGTAGGATTAATATCAAGTTTAATATTGAAGATAAACTTGAAAAGAAATGTTTATCATGGCATTATTTTGCATCAATGTGTGAGAATACATTGATGTTTTAAATGTTAAATATTGAAATGATCTTTCAACATAAATCATTTTTATTCATGCCATAAATTTGTTCTTTTTCTACTCATTGGATTTAAAGTTGGTTATAAACTATTGCTGCATCATATAATAATGATCAAGATGATCTATTACTAATATTCATCAAGTGTAAATATTTATATAAGGCTGCAATAATTGTTACAGCACGTACTTAATTCAAATGTTCATTTTCTGTTTGTTAAATAGCAAAGAATCATTATTAATATCCGACTCAATTTTGGTTTCTCATAGAGAGGAATACATCTATGATGAATATTTACAAAACCATTATCTCAAGTAATCTATGGTCCTTAACGATCGAACGATAGACTATTCAGAGATAAAATTTTATGACAATCGTATGTTCTTCCTATGAATTATAAAGAGCAAGCTATAATCAACAAGATTGTCTATCCATATAGACAAAATTGTTACTTGCTTTAATTTAATCAACGGAAATAATTAATAAAGCAGTATTTTAGAGTATAAAAATAGAGTCTCTCTGCATGACTAACAGACATGTCAAAATCTAAACGTAATCAAAATGACATACTATTATCAAGGATATCTTTTATATATATTTTATTACTAGTTCCTTTTGTCTTTTATACTAACCATCTGATAAAAGACGTCTCAAAATCGTATTCAGTTGGCAAAAAATGTAAACTACTGGTTGTATATTTAATTATAAGTATTACTGCTGCAATACATCAATCTTTATTTATCTACATATTGATAATATTTCTCTACCAATATTATCAGTCAAATTACTAAATGTACTAATTTATGTGTATGTCACAGACACTTTTGAATATATGAGTCTATATACGTGCCATGGTACTCATCTAATGATAATATTTCATTACAACAATCGATTAGCATGTGTTTAAGACAGTACGAATATACTTTTTACTGTTATCTTCGAAACCTTGAACGCAATAGTTATATTGAAAAAAAGCATAAAAAAAAGAACATGATATTATCTAATAATTTACAGAGATTGATTTTCATTGTTTATTGAAAATAATAACAAATATTCACAAACGTTTCTTATCATCAACAAATTATTTTTCTAATCAATAATAATCTCTAGATAGTGGTTTTGTGGAAAGAAAAAACAAAGAGAAAAGTATGTTTCTCTTAGGAATTCTTTACAATCAAGTTGTTATATTATATCAGAATAGAGTTTTGTATATTTATTAATTGTTTAACTAATTAATGAGAAAAGACAATCTTTCTTTTTATTTTTGAATTGCTAAATGTTTTTATTTTTTATGAAATAATTCTTTTTCATTGGATATGTGAGATACTTGCTTAGTACTGTTTTAGATTCAATATCTTTTCATCATTTACGCATTGTGATGCTTTTATTGTAACGCAAAAAAAACAGCCCAGGTCTATTTTCCAGCCATGGGTATTTTTGGATTAAGATGTAAATGCTACAGTGTCAATGAAAAGAATTTCTAATTGGAACACAGAATTCAATTAAAATTCTCATGTAATGATTACTTGGTTATTGTAGTATTATAATAAGATAAACAGAATGTGAATGTAGACAATGGTGAATGCATTTCAAATACAGACCTTTAAAATTCTGCTTATGGTAAAATCTGTCACCTCTTATATTTATGTCATTTTGAATATCTTATTACTTCTGATAGAGAGTGAATCACGTCATAGTGAAACAGGAAAAAAATGAAATCATCTTTTACATCGAGATAGGTTTTGTGAAAAGAGATGAAATAAAATTATCTGACACGTACATTTTCATTTTCTGATAGAGACGTGTGTTTCGTTGAAATATGTTATTATGCTTTGAATGTTATATATGCAAACGACATAAGCTTCCTAATGAATGTGTAATTCTTTATGCATGTTTTTAGATAGGCTTAACGATGCCTCGATTCCTACTTTTTCAAAATAATGATTAAATATTTATTGTACTAAGAGCAGTTGCCTCGGGCTGAATCTTTGTGTGAGTCATATGTAATCTTGATCAGTCCATCTGATGCTTTTGTCACACTTGATGAAATGCGGGTAACCGAGCTAAGAATCGGCAATGATCGAGCAAAAATTCGGCAATTTGAGACTATTCCTGCCAATTCTAAATAGACCAAATAAACCGATCAAAACTGACTAAGTTTCACGTAAAAGCTTAGCTTCAAATGACGGTTTTAGATACTGCAAACTTATGCTCCTTAGCGTGAAAAATCAGAAACTCGTGGATTTTTCTTAGAATAAAGATTTCATATGTTTTGTACAGTACAATAAAACAAAAAAATAACCCATGCGATTCGAACCAGACAAAAATCACTGGTAAATCGTCGACAGATCGTTGGATAAAATGGACCCTATACTAACAGTATTCATCGGTGATGACAAAAAAAACCACTGGCACACCAACAATTAAACAATATCTACTGTCAGTATATCAGTTATGGTGAGAACAAAGGTAGGACATTAGGAATTTGTCCAAAACTTTTTGAGAGAGAAAATAATCAATGCAGTAAATCATGATAAAACTTGCTAATGTTAATGTCAACATTCTCACATAACTTCTATAAATATCAATAAAATTACTTCGAACGAGATATGTTTATTCAGGGACATCGTTGCTTATCTGGTTAGTTAGTGAAAGACTAAGTAATGAAAGCAGTACAAAACGACAAAAATCTTTTATGCATCTTTCTTCATCTAATCAACTTCGATTGCACAATAAGCTTCCTAGAATTAATTTAACAGAAATATAAGCAAGTTATCACCAAATCTTTCCGGAATATAAGAACTGTTTTATTGAATTCTTCACAATAGAACTATAACCAGGAATGGATAGCAATGTGGAAGTCAAAAGTTTATTATAAATAGATTCCTATTTTCGTTTTTCTTCTAGTACAAAATGAGTATGTATAGAAACAGAGTTGTTTCACGGTCTATTATTATCTATCACGATTTTTAACAACAATCAAGAATTTTTCTTAGCAGCTATTTTACATAAGTCATATGTCTGTAGAACTTCTAAGTGTGAGCAAAAAGATGGCAGAAAAAATATAATAGTGATACTGAGATAGTGATTAAAACAAGATATGTCTGCTATATTTACTGGAAGACGGTTCATATATTTTGGAAAAGAAAAAAGTTTCAATATTGCAGGCTAGCAAAAGGACACTCATATCTAAAAATTTCTTGCTGATCTGACTTCTTTTTGTTGCAGATTGAAATGATTATAGTCGACTCTTTCTTACTCTATCTTATATGTATTAAAGAATCATAATTGATCATTCCTAATCTAACTATATAGTATTTTAGGTAACAGTCTAGAACGTCCTTTAAAAAAATGTCCTTGTATTTCGTCCTTAGAAAAAATGTCCTTCAGATGAAATGTCCCTTCAGTAAAATTTCAAAAATAGTTTAGAATAATGTTGATAAAATTAATTTTATTTATAGTAACGAATTAATTTTTATTTTATTTTTCATTCGCAACAAAAAAGGAAAGTGCACGTAATAAATCTTGTGCTGTGATTCTGTTATTATTAAATCGATCATATAATTCTTTCATTCGTTGTTCAGCAATTTCTAGTAATGGTGCTAATTCATTTTCAGCTCTTTGTCGCATTACTTCTTTAAGATTTCGTATTTCCAATTCAGCAGGATTTGGTAAATGAGAATGTTCAGTTGTTTTTCCAGAAAAACGCACTAATTCATCATTAAGATTCGTGTGCAAAAGCACATCACAATTTCTATAGCACAACGCCGAAATTTAATTGTTTGATTTTTATTGAAATTTTTCAGCTGATATTGATAACCATTCATAGTTAACATAGCTTTTCGTTTATTTGATGTTGTTTTTGTAATTGTTGGTTTAGGTGAAATTGATAACAATGAAGATGATGATTCAGTTGGTTTTGACGATGAAGATGATGATAATGATGATAAGCAATTTATTGGTTTTGAAGAAGAAAAAGATGATGATGATGTTTCATCAGTTGATATGGAATCACACGATTCCATTGAAAAATAATTATTGTGCTTATTTGTAAATTTGTTATAGGTATAACTAATCGTACTAGAACATTTTTGTGGAACTCACGTATGTTTTCGAAGAAAATAGTGAGTGTAAATTTTCAGTTCGAGGTTTGGCGGCTCCCGCCCACCCCATTACGGACGCATAGCAACGGAAAAGAGAACATTACAGACATGCCACCCATTGCAGACACCTCCTATTACAGACATCCCACCATTACAGACACCCCACCATTACAGACAACCCCCCATTACAGACCTTGGCAACTTCGTAAAAAAAAAATTCTGTTCCAAATTGAGAGATAAAAATATAGCATTTTCTAATAATCGATTATCTTTAGAAAAGAACTATTATCTTTTGGAGATTTTAAATATTGGGTATTTTGTCATTAGTATAATGAAACCAAAGATGATATGTGAGTTCCACATTTCAGTCCCAAAGGGGCTGCACTAACAAGCGTTTTTTTCTTACTTCATTCATTACATTTTAAGATAAATGTCTATGTAATTAATATAAATCTCTAATACGATATGGGTGAACTACACCGACATCTAGATACTGGACTAATTTTATTTTAACATCTTCACAAGAAAGTGAAGGACATTTTTCTTAGGGACATTTTTTCAAGGACAAAAATCTGAAGGACATTTTTTCTGAGGACGAAAATGCGAGGACATTTTTAAAAGGACATTCTAGACTGTATTCGTATTTTATAATGGTATTATCTACAATGTCATGAATATATATTCGATATTTGTTTCAATTACGATGCGATTGATCAGAAACAATTTAATAAAAAAACTTCATTGTTATTTAAAAGAAAAAAAAAATAACCTTTCTTAATTCTCTTAAGCTGTACGATCATATCTGTTAAACTAAGTACGTCAAATATGCTGAGTACAATCAAATCTTTTGTAAATTTAGTTATATATTATACAATTCTCATTAAACTACATCATGTAAACTTTTCTTTCTGTCTAAGTCTGCTTACGTTTTTCATTACAAATTCTTCAGGTTCGGTATTTTTCATTCTAAAAGTTTTCTACAAGATACCCATGAAAATTTTTTTTGTGAAAAACCGCTCGAAACCGCGGTTTTACAAACTGCGGTAATCAACGGTTTTCGAAACCGCGAAAGTCAGACCTTGTATGCGGTTTTTCAAAACCGTCAAGAACCGCGGTAATTTCACACCGCGGTTTTCACCGGTATTCAAAACCGTCTAAAAGGTCTGACTTTCGCGGTTTATTTCAACGGTAATGATCGCGGTGTACAAATACCGCAGTTTTTGACGGTTTTAAAAAACCGCATAAAAGGTCTGACTTTCTCGGTTTTCTGAACCGCTGGAGACCGCGGTATACCGCGGTTTTCGTAGCCACACCTGACACAGGTATGACCAGGCTCACCTGAACTTTCGAAAATGTTCAGGTGAGGTGAGCCGCCCTTCGAGGGGCACTGTAGTGAACTTTTAGAAGTTCCATTACGACAAAGTTACATTGTAGTGAGAGATAGATTAAGAAAACTTATTTAAAAATTTCATGAAAATAGCAGGGCACGACATCCTCTTCGTCCTTACACATTCCATTACGATGGTATAAGCACCAGACATAGCGCGGTTCTTCAGTTGAAAACCGCGGTTATCAATAACGCGGTTATTCGGCGGCACACCACGGTTTCTAAGGCCGCTGAATACCGAGGTATTTGTCATCGCGGTTACTAATGACTATACCGCGGTTTTTGAAACCAATTAATACCGCAGTATTTGCCACCGCAGTTAATGATGGTTATACCGCGGTTTTTGAAACTACTCAACACCGCGGTATTTGCCACCACGGTTAGTAATGACTACACCGCGGTTTTTGAAACCGCTCAATTCCGCGGTATTTGCCATCGCGGTTACTAAGGACTATACCGCGATTTTAAAAACCGTTGAATACCGGATTATGCAATAGTGCGGTTTCCAATAACTATATCGCAATTTTTTAGACCGTTGAATACGTCGGTATTTAGAACCGCGGTCCTGAATACGAGCAACGCGGTTTCAGAAAACCGCGGTTCAAAAAAACCGCCATCAACCGCGGTTATCCAATCGAAACCGCGGTTTCCTCTAGTAAAACCGCGATCGAATGAAAACAACCGCGGTTTTGAGCGGTTTTTTGAAAAAAATTTTCCATGGGTATTAGACACATATTAATGTTAGTATTATGCACAATGAATACTGTTCTTAAGAGCGAAAGAACGAACGATCTCTGAGTGATTATTCTCTGTCACTGCTCCATCAAAATTCACTAAATGAACGAGTAAGAAAATGAATGATTAGTCATAATTCTTCAATGTGCTTAAGAGAAAGACAGAAAGACTATGGTTGATATTAACAAATAAGACTACGACTAGAGAGAAGCAATAGATAAGTGGTTAAAGATTAGAAACTCACATCCAAAATATTCTAGGTTGTATATGATGGAAAAACGAGATTGAAAGATCTATGCTTTCTATGTTCGTTTAGTTAGAAAAATGTTTTTGAATGTAGATTGAGAACTCTCTATTAACCTCTGATGTATTGAGTTGACTTGAAATAGTTATTTAATTCTGACTTAGATATATTTCATTCAGGAAAAACATCCGGCAGTGAGAGTGTATTAAATCTAAAATCAAAGTTAGATTGAGAGAGTGAGTCCATGGGTAAGTGAATATTCTCATCTCAAAATTTCAATATTTTCACAGTTAGAAACCAACATTCTTAATGCACAGTTTCGATTGATAGTTTTGTATCGACTAAAATGTTCACAAATTTATCTTTCATATAGATCAGCAACTGAAATCTTGTCAGATTGATTTCTTATTTTAGGTATTAGTATCAGTTACATCGTATATTTTATTCGCAAAAAAGATACTCATATTTTAGATATTACGAATGAAGTTTACAGAGAAGAATCTGTGTGTTCAAGTAGTGCATGTTGCACCTCAATCAATGCACGAAATACCACATATAATTACCTATCATAGGGTGTGGGGTGTTAGTCTCGTTTTCACCCACACCCTTGTTCGGCTCAATTTATCGTTTCTCTTCGATAGAAGTTCTTCGGGTTGGCTCCAGATCCGAATTCACATTTGAAAATTTTAGATCCGATAGACTCTACTTTTCAAAGATAATTATATAGTCTATCTTTTCATTTGAAATAACATTATTTACTTGATATATTCTTCGAATGTCTAAACAGACAATTTCACAACAAAATGAATTAAACATCATATTTGATATTCATTTTGTATATGTGCATTTTTATGAATTTTATTTTCAACAAAGAACATAATAAACGAAACAAAAAAAAAAGATAAAGCAGCACATCGTTCTAGACTATGCACATAAGAAAGATATTCAAATTGAAGCAATTTTTATATATCCTATTTCTCAATATGAATTGATCTAAGATTTGTACCCTCCAAATAAGTTATATTTTTTAAGAATATTTTATTGTTGTTCTTGGTTGTATACCATCAAAGAAAAAGTGCATGACAAAAAGATAGTGTTTGAAGGAATAGAGTAATACGTTCGTATTCTTCAATACACTTACACACAGGTTTTGTTTGTTCAAAAAAAGAAAAAAAAGAAAGTAAACAAAAGCCAAAAAGTAATAATGACAACAATCCAGACGCGAACAAAAAAAAGAAAAGTTTACATATATCATTTGAACCAATAAGACCTAATAATTAACGATTTTCGACTAGAAGAAAAAAAACAAAAACAAGAGAATCATTAGAATATAAATAAAATTTAAAAAAATAAAACAATTATTTACTGTATGTAGCTACATCAATTTCATCGGGCATTTCAGTAATTTGTACTTCAAAACGACTTTGAACTTCATTAAGAATTGCTGCATCACTTTCATCGGCAACATATGTTATAGCTAAACCTTTTGTACCAAAACGACCAGCACGAGCAACCTGAAATTCAATATTTAATAACAAAAGCAAAATAAAAAAAAATTCATTAAACATACTCGATGAAGATAAGTATCTGAATCTTCTGGCATATCATAATTAAACACAATATTAACTCGTTCAATATCCATACCACGTCCAAATAAATTTGTCGCAACAAGAATACGTGTTTGAAATTCTTTAAATTCTTTATAACGTGCCAAACTAAAAGACATATATATATATTAAATTAATTGATTTAATTATCTTTTTTTTTTATTTCAATTAAAAAATAAACAAACCGTTCTTCTTGAGGCATTCCACGATGAATTTCAACAGCAGGAAAATTTTGTTCAGTTAATAACTTGCATAAAGCTTGACAACGTTGTACTGATTTAACAAAAATAACTACTTGATTAAATTCTAATTTATCAAGTAAATCAATAAGTTTTCGATTTTTTTCATTTTCACGTAATTTAACATAATGTTGACGAAGACCCTTTATTTAAATAAAAATTATATTATTTATTCTTTTCTTTTTTTTTTGTCAGTCTCTTCTATTTTATATACAGTTGGATTAATATTCAATGGTTTAAAAAAAAAACAAGTATTGAAAAACTCTTTTTCTAAATATGATATGAAAAAATTCTAGAATAATTTTCTCTAGGCCGAAAATCAGATTAAATTTTGCACATATCATAACCAGAATAAGTAATAAAAACTTACATGAAGTGTTAATTTAGTTTCATTATCAATATAAATTTCCATTGGCTAGAAAGAAAAAAAATTTATTTATTCTAAATTCGATCATAAAAAATAAAACTTACTTGTTGCATAAATTTCTTACATACTGGTCGAATGTCTTTACTTAATGTTGCACTAAACATTAAAACTTGTTTTTCATGTGGTGTCATCTTAAATATTTCTTGTACATCTCGACGCATATCTATATATATTTAAATAAATTAATGTTATAAATTAATAAAAAATTTTTTTTCATACCAAGTGATTCAAGTACTTTATCACATTCATCAATAATAAAATGTTTAACATAACGTAAATTAAG